TCCACAGACATAGAGTTAGCCATAGAAAAACAATGTGACCTTTTACACACCCCCTCCATGTAATTTGCCCTGAGAAAAATCTATCAAGTGCTCCACCTAGGGGACATGATCACGCCAATCAGGAAAAGGTTGTAAAACTTTAATGGGGCAAATTTTATTTTTTTGAGAAGAAACAAACATTTTATAAAAGAAAAGAGAAATACACTGAAGTGGATAAGAAATCCACCATTTACAAGATACAAGAAAAACTCTCAATAGGATTTGGCTACAGCAACAATAGCTAGACCTAACTCACTTTACTGCTGCTAACAAATCCCACAGTAATTGAGAAAGAGAGTAATTATTAAAATCATTTGAGACTGAAGCCCATAGGGCTGCCCAATATTTTACTCTTCCCCAAAGTACTTCTACCCCCACACCCGTATAATCCTCAAAAATTCTTTTGTTACGCTCCAGCCATATGTTCCAAAAAACTGCCGAGACCAGACAACCCCACAAAGCTTTAGCTTTCCTCCCAATTCCTAGGGCCTGAAACTTGGTGCTTAGAAGCTCGAAGCAACCCTTTGGAATGACCCAACTAGCTCTAACCTCCTGAAACAATTTCCACCACAGTTGAATCGTGTAAGAACAATGGAGAAAAATGTGGTTTACACTCTCCTCGTTAGCTTTGCACAAACTGCACCAATGTGGGGATAAGCAGATAAAATGGCTTCTCCTGAAAGACTTGAGGCTCAATGGGAAATGAGAACATCCTGGCTTTACCACACTAAAACAGGCTTGGCATGGAACCAAGACTGGTTAGACATTGCTCTAATTTTCTTTTTCTTTTTTTCATATCTAAACTTCAGGTTATTAATCACTTTTTGCATGGTTCAGAATATCCTAATGATAGACGAATGACATCTCTAACAAAAAAACATAGCTGTTTATGATAACCTATAAGAAAAAAAACTTTTAATAACCATGAAAAAGTATATCAGAATTATTATGTTTCAAATTTGATTGAACTCGTACTAAAATGTTTTGAAGAAAAGCGATGCACACTGAAACTAATTTGAGAGCATATCCTAACAGTCACTTGAGTAACTTTTTCTTAAAAAAAAATCACCAAATGTGTGTCCGAATGTAACAGAAATAACAGAAAAATGACAAGAGGAAATGTCACGACAAAGACTCTTGACAAACAAAATGATAAGAGAGTAAAATTGTAAGTAGAGCCCAAGACTAGTCGGGTAATAGCAGGAAAGCAAATAAAACAATGTATGAGTTGCAACTTGCAAACCACATAAAAAGTAAAAACTGAGCAGAATAGTGATGGTACGTGGAACTTACATATGAACCATACGGCATGTGCGACTTGGCACCATTCACAAACACCTCACCGTACATTCTGGCTGAGTGAGGCAATCTTCCTAAAGCAAGGGAAACAAACAATGCTTAAAACTCAAGTATGCAAAAATAAGAGGAAGCACAGTTCTATGCACAATTAGAAATTTAAAAGTGAGAGGGAAGCTTAAGGACCTGCAAGTGCCCTTAGTAGCGTCGACTTCCCTGATTTATCAGGACCCATAATTACTGTTATAGTTCCCGGCAATGCATAACCATTCGAACTCTTCACAACCTTCTCAGAGTACTTTCTTTTCCCTTTGATTGTAACAGTCAAATCTTTCCATACAAGGGATGCCCCTGCAATCTTTCTTACAACAGTTGCACCCTCTGGTAACCCTGGGGATGGCAGGGACCCACTATTGAGCTTCGAAAGAGATGGGGAGACCGGTGTGACAGCGATGTTGATGGAGTCACCTCCTTCCTCCAACCTAACATCAACATCTGTATCCTCCCATTCAGGTGAATCTTCAAATGAGATGGGTTGTCTCAGTGAGCCAGGTTTACGCAAGTAGAAAAAGTTACTTGAGGGCACCCGACTTGCTGGACTACTTGCTGAAGATGAGGAAGACCTATAATTATCCGATTGTGATTGTATTTCTTCCATCTTCTTCAAGATTACAAACTTCAACTCATTCTACAATAACTTATGATCAGCAACAAACTTGACATACTACATATTCATCGACGACACAATTCAATACTTATCAAAAACACCCTTCATATGCGGAATCCTGCATCAAGAACCACCACCATAATCACTGTCTGTTACATCCAAACCGTCAGAAAATAAAGTCACCCCAATCAGTTGTCATTTATACTTGAGGCTGAAATGGATTTTTTTACCGGTTTCATTGGAGGGAATTGAACCCTGGACCTATCCTAATCCTAACGCATTACCACATTACCTCATCCGTCCCTCACCCCTTGCAGAATAATGGAACTGAAATATTGGAAAACTACACAGGTAACTGCCTTAGTGGAACATTTTAACTGCTGTTCATAAAAAAACTGCCCAAATAGCCATTTTGTCATCAAAAGTTAATCTTGGTAAATTATTTTTCTCGATTATATTCATTTATTCTATGAGTAATCGGAAATGGAAACACAAACATACACGTCAAGTTCGAAACCAATCAGAAAACTACAACCTGTTTCCTTCTTTCTTTAGTGTTCTCACTAACCAAATTCTGCTCTCCAGCTTAAGCCTTAAACATAGAATCATTAGCTAAAAACTAAGACAGCAACCACAAGTAAAGCCATTAAATATGTAAATATTGTTTCATATTTTAAAGCTTTTCTCTTCATTTCTGAGAGACCAAACACAAGTAAAAGCTTCATATCCAAACCCTAAGCTGCTTCAAACAGATGAAGTAGAAGCTTGAGAGATTGAAGCAGAGACATACCTGGATCTGAGTAGGAGCTCACAGAGAGAGAGAGAGAGACAGAGAGAGAGAGAGACTGAGTGTGTGTGTGTGAAGGGTTTGGAGTGTGGCAGTGACAAAGAGAAGCAAATTAATTTATTCAGCGGGTTATTTGACGCGCTTTTTCCTGTACATGTATGCTTTGCTTCTCCACTTTTTTTTTTTTTTTTTTTTTTTTTTTTTTTTGTCCTATTTTGCATAATCCAAAGTGTAACGTTGGTAAAGAGCAGCATTGTACCACAATGGTAGAAAGTTGTTAAGTTTTTGCATAACGACGTAGATTTAAATTTCATCAATGACTAATTTAACATTTAATTTAATAAAATATATCATTTTGACAAAAAAAATTGTAATGTTGGCAAAAGAAATTTTCCACTGATGATTTATGTTTTTTTTTCTTAAGGGGCAAATTTGGCATCCAATGCTCGATCCGCAGCTACATTCCAATAATTGTGGTCCCACTCCTTCTATACTTATACATCAAATTGGAAAAGAATCATTTCCGGATCATTTCTACCAAATTCATAAAATTCGGGAACCGAGTCTTTAATATTTGATTAAGCAGCTACCATTATTATAAATTTTAAATGGACCTCCTGTTTATAGCAGTTTGATTAAATTTCAATGGTCCAGATCATCAAACTTCGTGGATTTGGTGAAAGGTCCCATCAAATTTGAGACACATAGTTACATTTATATCTTATTTTATATTTAAAAAAAATATAAATAGAAATATTACTTTAATAAGACAGATATAAATTTAAGATTTTATTTTTCATTTTTTTATTGGCAGGAATAACCACCACAAGATGTGAATTTAGGTTTTTATTTTCATTCATTTGCGAAGATGTCTCTCCATTAGAGATTTTTTTGGCCAACAATAAATACACAATTGAAGGCATTTGGGAGATGCTCTTTTGTGTTTGGTGAGGAAAAGATTAGGGGAGGTTAGGCTATCCGATTTCAGGGTCATGATATCACAAACCTTTTTTTATGACTAACTTATGAGCTCTTAGTATTTTTCAAATTTTACGAATTGCTCACCAAAAACAATTACCTGCACTCAAACCTAAGTCTTGATATAGAGAAGAACAATCATTACCAACTCAACTCACTCTCGTTTTCTTATATATAACAAGGAGGGTTCTCTTAGTAGAAGTATTTGGGTGCTAATTAGTTAGTATGCAAATTACTCACCAACAACATGGTCCAATAACAATAGAATGCCCGTCCATTTAATATTTTCTCAAACCTTTCTTCTTCTCTTTTGCCTTATGCCATGGCAGATTAGATCACCGTCTTTCTCTCTTCTTCGTCGAGCCCACCCCCACTCTCCTCCTTAGTTATGATTTTTTTAACAGTTTGGGCCACAAGATTTTGTTTGCCTGCAATTGATTTAAATGAAAACTAATGAAAATAGTTTGAAAATTTTGAGTTTTAACGATAATGACAAAATAAATAGTAGAGTGAATAGTCTCATGATTGATTTTTTAGTGTAAAAATGTGGTTTTTTGTTAAAGTAAACAGTACCAGAAGATTTTCGTTAAAGTTCTCTTATTTCAATACAAATAAAATGAAAAAGAAGATTTATTTTCATGTGATTTTATTTTGCTTTTCTTAGCATTGTTGATTTTTTTTATGGCTACTTTTCAAAGGTGAGCATGATCCGATTTGACTCAAAAAAATAATTATATTGATTTCAGCAGTTCGATTTGGTTTTGACCAATACCTCTACCGTAACCAAATCAAACCAAACCAAAACATTAGTAATTGACTGGTTCGGTTATTTTATGCCTATTCTAACACATCAATAAAAAAATTCCGACATCTCAAGAGATAATTTTCTAAACATCCACACCTCTCAGACATTCCAAAAATTCCTTCAAAAGATGAAGTTTCTTTGAACACAAAAGTTCTATCTAATCAACTAGGATTAAGTTTCAATAAATTAAAAAGAGTTCATACTACATCGAACTGTAACGATCTGACTTGTATATTTTTCAAATTGCATCTCATGAATTATTTTTATAAAGTATTAGCTAAACCGAAAAAGTTCAACTACTACTTATTTAATTTGTTACTTAAATTGCAAATTTCGTTGAAGAAGCGTTTTTCTTGTTTAAAATGTAATGTGGCGTTTTTTCTAGTGTAATTTATTTATGTTCCAAAGTCGTAGTTGGTGACTGGGTTTAGTAAATGTCAAGATTCTCAACGCGTTGGTGGAGTTTGGTTTGGTCCCCGTCTGCCAAAGTCTCCAACCGCATCCAATCGCATTGTTCCAAGTTGGGTCAAGCGTTCCACACACCCCATTGGAATTATCATCACAAAAAAATGGAGATTCGCCTCCCAAATTCCCAATTCCCGCGAAAAAGCCCAACGACTCCTCCCTCTCAATCCCCTCCCTGATCCTTCGATCAATCCCAATTCCGTCGTCTCGAAGCCGGAACAGGCTTAGGATCGCCAATTCCAATGGCGGCCATGGTGATGGCGATGGCCGGAATGATGAACGGAGAGAGAGCCGTGGTGTTTCTGTTCATTACTCGCGTCCTCTTCTCCCTCCCCTTCTCTCTCATCTCCCACGGCGTCGCTCTCTCTCTCCTCGCCCTCTCCGCCCTCTCCCTCGACATCCTCGCCGATTCTTCCACCTCCCTTTCCCAATTCAGCACCAGGTACGCGCACTCTTCGCTTTCGATTTTTGAAATTGATTTTGTTGGGGCTCTTGCGGTGGTGGATGTGGGCATTATTGTAATTTCAATTTTTCAGGCCGGGTGCTTCGTCGGGTATATTGTTAGGGGCTGTCACGTTGCCCGCTGTTTTCATATCCAAGATGATGGTACTATTAATTACTTATGGCCCAACGCTTCACGCATCAACCAGTTGAGTCGTGGCGTTTTTTAAGGTGCCCGAACTTTGGCCCTTTAGTTCGGTAAGAAATCCTCTTCAGATATATTCTATCAAAGTCTACTAGTTAATTAATCTGGGTTCTTGAAATTTGATTTAACGGTTAAAATTATTATAAATTTTAAAAAGGATCTCCTGTTTGTAACCGTTGGATCAAATTTCAAGGGTCCAAAATAATTGATTGGTGGACTTTGGTCGAAGAGATCCGAAGATAATCTATTTCCCTTAAGTTCGGACCAATTAACACCCATTAAATCGTTGACTTGCGAACGGACGATTGTGTATCTACGTTTACATCAACGACTCAAAGTCACTTATATTCGCATTGGTAGGTCATGCTAGCATAATTCAATTCATTATGGTAAGATAGTAACGCTAAGGATGTACGTAGCTGTCCACTATTGATGTCATATATGCAATAATCTCTACTTAAGCAATTACTAATAATTTATCTGTTACATATTTTTTTTGAAAAAATTTCAGTGGTATGAGAAAAATTTAATTGATAACGAAAAAAGTTACATCTAATCAGGAGAATTTACCCTACTACATAATATTTCTCTTTTAATTTGTTCATTTCACAAATTAGTAAAAAAAAAAGAGAGAGATTGTATAAGAAGAAGGCATCATGTCCTAAAAGTTAAAACTAATAGGACTCGAATTTTAACTTTTAATTTTTTTCTTAAGAAATTCTTATTCTCAATACATTATGCGTTTATTAACACATAAAGAATAAAAAGTGAGTCATATGTGAAAGATATGTACTTCATTTTCGATTTCAACCTATAATACCCGTATTACCCTCGTATCATTCGCATACTTAAAAAATGTTAGTAAAAAACATAGGTGTGATCGATCAAATTGTCATGTAATTTGAGTGAAAATATAATTAATTTTTATGAGCGGAATATATACTATTAATAAAACTAAGGTATATTATAAAATACCATTACATGGATTACCAACATAGATTTAAGGAGGAGCTTGGTAGTTGATACCTTGATTAATAATATCAGCTAGTACCAAAAGTGGGTGGTTTTATTCTTTGACAACATTGATTAAGGAGGTGTTTAATCCAAAGTATCAATTATCAAAAGTCAGAGTTGGTCTTGGAGTTGGATGGAAAGGGTAATTGGGAATCCAAACCTCCCTCGCTAAGTCGATAAAATAATATGAAGAGAAAAACATGAAAATAAGAATGAAATTTTTTTCAATGCATCTGAAACACGGAATAATAGTCATAAACTCTTTTTTTTCAAATGTATCTATCTATATGATAATAACATAACGTATGAGCTCAGTGTTCTTATCACACTAATCAATCTCTCAACGAGAAGGCATCCCTTTCTTTCCTTGTAGTGTGAAAGGTTTGATCACTAAGCAAAGCCTTTGCCTCTCTCTCTCTCTCTCTCTCTCTCTTCCCTGTTTTTCTTATTAACCCCACCATCAAATGTCCCCAACCTGCAACAGATTCACCAAACAAAAACTAAAAAACAAACTAACTCCTACGGAAAAACAAAAGTCACTCTTTTCATCTTATCCCCCACCCTCTTTCCTCCCTCTATTCCCTTCTCTTTCTGTTCTTCCATCCCAAAATTCAAGTGAGAAGAGAAAGAACATATGTGGCAAGCTCATGCCTGCAAGTCTTCTTATGGAGAATCCATCAAAGCTCTTGAAGCTGATATCCAACATGCCAATACCTTGTGAGTCTCTTTTTTCTCTAATTTTTTTTTTTTTGTTGGTGATCAATCAAAACTGTGGAATAATCCATATGCATTTTCCTCTTCTGGGTAGTTTGTTGGGTAGTTAATCCAACTGAATTGTGGTTGTTGGGTAGTGCTTATCATTTTGAGAGAGAAGGTAAAGTTGGATTTTTTTTTTCCCTAAACATTTAAGTTCGATACTGTTTCCTTAAGGCTTTTTATGTGAGAAATTTTCCAGCTTTATATACATTACTGCTTTTATGTTGCCAATTTAATTGCTTCTCTGGAAAAAAAAGAAAAATCCCACAGGCTGTTCTTATTTTTCTACCCAAATGAAGCTCAAATATTTTTTGATTTTTTTTTTCCATTTGTTTTTGGGATGGATTTTGTTGCAGGGCAGCTGCTCTTCCCAGAGATTATGGTGGGAACTGTATCCAAATGAGATTGTCTTACAGCCCCTTTGCACCTTTCTTCCTGTATCTCATTGAATGGATGGATTGTAGTTGCACTGATGTACTTCCCAATTATTTAGGCCTTCTCCACATCCTTGTACACAAGGTGGGCTGCTCTTCCGTTTCATGCTTTATTCGTTTTACTTCCCAGTTGCCTGCTGCAGAAAGACAATCTTTTGTTTCCTAAAGACCGAAATTAAGCTTTACGATATTGTACAGGTATATGTCGATGGGATGCCTTCATTGTCCTCCAAAGAACAGAAGGTCACTTTAAGGGAATTTTACGGTATGTTATTCTCTTGTTAGCTTCTTATTGAAAACATACCGGTTCTTGGAAGAATTGTTTTTGACATAGCGGTGAATTCTGCTGGAAATCAATGCAGCTGTAATATACCCTTATCTTAGGCAACTTGAAGGCGAATTTAACGAACTGGAAGATAATAATAATAAGAGAAGTCGATGCACAGATGTTTTGGGCAGAAAGAGGATGGAAGACCAAAGGAAGCTTTCGGATAAAGATCTTGAGAGAGAAGATGAATGTGGGATATGCATGGAAAACTGTACAAAGATGGTGTTGCCTGACTGTGGGCATTCCATGTGCCTCACCTGCTTCCATGATTGGTATGATCAATTTCCATCTTCACTTGTTTGCTTATTAGCGAACTGAAAATCATTTTGCTTACCGGTGAGGTAACCTGTGGAAAATATTTATTCTGTAATGTGCCTGATTTGCAGGAATGCAAGATCGAAATCCTGCCCTTTTTGCCGCGGCAGCCTAAAGAGTGTTAGCTCCAGAGATTTGTGGGTTCTCACTAGCATCGGTGATGTTATTGATGCAGTAACCCTTGCGCAGGAGAACCTAAGACGTTTCTATCTTTATATTGAAAATCTACCTGTAATTGTGCCGGCAACGCATATTGTGGTATACGATTACATGCTCTGACTCACAACATGAAGAATGAAGTTGCAAAGTACACAAATTACTCATTACCCCAATGTATATATAGCCTAATATAGGGAAGTTCAATGTAAACTACCATGCCGGGTTGACGAGCTGTCTCATGGTAGCTGTATATAGTCAACTAAAGTACCGAATGCCTGTTTTCAGACGATAAGCTGGTAGCTTTGGAGATTCTTGAGTTGCATATGAGACTATGGGAGCATCCTGCCCATCTCCAATGACTAAGGCACCTGCAAGTCTCTGGCGGAAGCCCTGGATATATGTATATATAACAGGTAAGCCTGGCATTCAACTCAGCTTTTTGGAACCTGAGTGTTGGAATGGAAGTAATCATGGTTTCTGCTCAATTACTTGATGATCTCTTATAAATTAATGAAGTTTACAGTATTTATATACCACTTGATAACAGAATGTAAGTGCTTATGCTACTGCAATAGAATTATTTCGTTAAGAATGTCATGTCACGATGGAACTTCGTTTTAATGAAACTCATTATATATATATATACGAGTTTTAAATCTTCGGTGCATTGGAGATGCTCTCAGTAGAGTCATAGTAAGATTAACCTCGAGGGAGTTGGTTTAATGGCCAGGATTTTGTTTAAAAAAGCAACAATCCTGAGCTTGATTGTGCTCCAATCCAGCTCTACAAGTCGCCATCAGTAGATTTTCCCCGCTGAGCATCGGTCAATGTAGGACGAGAGATTGGCTGTGCCGTGAAGATAGCAGAATGCTCGAAGAGGGGGTGATTGGGGATACCTTTGTGCCTACCTTGTGATGATGAAAACACACATATCATCCCCTCAACAGGAAGCAAACTACTATGCCTTTATGCTAAATCCTGCTGTTTAACATCACTGGATGGCTTTAAGGGACCTGGTTGAGTAACTTCTGTTACAGCTAAACCAAGGTTGTTTTATGTAGTTATTGGCATGCAATATTTTTAGGGTGGTGTTGTCCACACCCTCATTTTTTACTTCTCATGCACCTCACAATTTTCGGCCGTCGGATCAAATGAATTGAAGAAAATCAATGGACAAAAATTAACAAATAAATGTATACGGGAGATAAAAAGAGATGTGTGAATAGCACTATGCTATTTCCATCTGTGTTATGTCTCACATAATTAAAAAGGGAAAAATATCAGTAATAAAATTGCGCTAAGCCACAATATGTTACTAATGTAAATACACAAGCAAAGTTTGTATTAGTGAATTGGTAATAATACGTGACGGTGAGACAATCATACTATAAATCACTCTTAAATTCCCAAGCAGTAGGCCTGGCATTTTGGACCCAACCCGTTAACCCGACCCGACCCAATCCGTTAATATTTGTATTTGGGTGGATGCTTAACGGGTCGGGTCTCTAACGGATGAACCCGTTAACAACCCGTTAAATAACGGGTCACTTTGGGTCAACCCGTTAGACCTGTTAGGACCCGTTAGCACCCGTTAGTTGAGGATATTTTAGTAATTTTAGTAAAGTCTTAATAACAAAAAATAAACTTTATGCAAAAAATAATAATAATAATAATTGTTAGTGAATGACCCGTTAGCTTAACGGGTCAGGTTCGGGTGACCCGTTAGCTTAACAAGTTGGGTTCGGATTATCCGTTAACTTAACGGGTCGGGTTCACCCCGACCCGTTTACAGGTCTACCAAGCAATGTAGTAAAGGAATTTTTGCCCGGCTGCCAAATTGTCTCATCATCATTCAGATTGGGCCTCCGAATCAATACAACGATACTTCTCAACCCATCAACCCAACTAAAATTGCTTGGGTCCAAAAACAACTGCTAAGATAATAAGATTTATAAACAATGCTAACAAAGGCATAAAGTTAACTAGTTAAGTGGTGGCAAACATACGAGAAAAACTTGGATAAGGTAAGCCGAAAGATAGATAGTCAAACACTTTTACAAGGGAGTGAGCCCTTCTCTATACAAAAAAACATACCGTAATATTCTTGTGAGAATGGCCTTGACTAGACCTTACTGAAGTTTTTCTCCGGACGTATTCTTAGAATGGTTGTTCATGGTATTCAACATCACTGCAACAGTTAAAAGGGGGAGTGAAAACAAAAACAATATAAGTAAAAACAAAAGAAAGAATACAGAGGTAAAGAAGAGGGGAAGCATCGTAGGAGAGCATAAGGGGAGAGTCATATTCTTTTAACTTTTAAATTAACAAATAAAAAGGCAGTCCACTGATGAGAAGTTGCATGGAGTTCATCTCCCTAGTTCCTTAGACACCAATCATGCTCACCCTCTCTTTTAGTAAATTATTGTAGAATTTCTAAGTGGGCATTTCCTTTTAGAGCCATTGAGTTTTTATTTCTTCAAAGTCCTTTTCTACCCCACTCTCCTAAAAGTATGCCTTTAAAGGCTTATAATTCCCTAAAGTTTTTTTAGAGTTGTAGGTGAAAAAATATAGAAGGTTAATGGCTCACCCACTAATTAATGAGGTTCAAACATGTATTTAGGCTCACACCACATGTCAATTATTTGCATTTTTGTATGACACAAAGTGGAGGAGGAACTTACATATAATGAGAATATCATTATCATTGCGGTGATCTTTAAGTCAATAACGACTGTCATGTAATAAAGTTAAAATACATGATAGTGTATGATTAGTCTGAGAAATTGACTCTACATATCACTAACAATGTGCATGATATTTTAAAGTCAATCACCCACTTAGGGGCGAATCCACCTTTGAGACAAGGTGGGTCAAATGACTCCTCCAAGTTCAAAAATCCTCCATGAAAGAGTTGGGTGTTGCCCTTTGAAAATTTGAGATGCCCTTGAAATATGTCCTCCAACTGCTTGACGAATTGCCTTTATGAGCACTAGGCAGGGTAGCTGTTAGCCTCATACCAATGTATGCTTTTCTATGGTCCCTTTCGATAGACGCACTTGGTATATGTTAGCATTTGTCGCCGTGCTCGCTTAAAAGCTATTGACATCAATCAATATGCTCGCTCGAAAGTTGTTGGTATTTGTTGACATGCATGCAATATGACTCGAAAAATGACCCTAGGCCTATCACGACTCAATGAAATGCCAATTTGGTAACTATTTTGTCCAAAATATTTTGCGTGCTACTTGCGCTATTCTTACTGACCCTCCCAATAATATTTCTTAGATTTGCCACTGCTTGCAGTGTCATGTAATAAAGTTAAAATGCATGATATTGTATAATTAGTTTGAGAGACTGTTGTAGTGTCATTCTGTTGTATGGTATGACAACGTATGATTAACTTAAGATATTGTCACAGTGATAAATATATCGTGGTCGTATGTATGTGCATATATATATATATATGCAAGTGTCTCTTTCACAAAGTGCGCAAGGAAATCTTGTTCTTGCTGGGTTGCTGGTTGGTCAAGAAACTTAATTAAGTGATCATTGGCACAAATTAAACCATCTTTTAAATTAAATGGAGTTTCAGAAAAGATGCCACTTTATTTTGCACCAATATGGAGCAAATGGCACTATACTGGCTTCAATATTTTTCTGCTTAGGGGCATCGTGGCCTCAATTCACGATAATGATTAGCCCGTCTTAATCTTAAATATTTCAAAAAAATCTGCAAACTCTGCCATTACCTTTTTTAAGCATGAATCCTCTTATGTCACTGAGTGCATGTCATCTATCTAGTGGCCTTGTTAGCTATTGGAGTGATTAGAAAGTAGATTAAGGACTAATTCTTTTGTTAAAGTTAGATGTTCCTTCGAGATTAATTAGCATCATGAACGTTCCTTAATTGTGATGTTAAACTTAATGTGGGTTAGAATCTCTCTAATTTAATGTTTAAAACTTGACAAAAAAACCAAGAGTGAAAACCACGCACTAATGAAATGGAGACAAAACACACTGCTTGTGTAAGCTGATTGCTAATGTCAATGTAAACAACACAAGGATGTTTTGTCCTTATCTTATTGCATCATGAGTTATTTAATACTAGTGAAAGAAGAGATTTTTCAAGATGACTGAAACATGGAGCGTTACGCTACGTTATACAATTGGAGAAAAGTTTTTTTTTTTGTTTTTTTCAAATGCCCCTCTAATTGTATAATGAGATGTGGTGTATTGCCCCGTGTTCCAATCACAATGAAAATCTCTGTATATTAAAGGGTTACAGGACATTCTTACATGTAACTAGGGATACATGTTCAAGTTTCTATTCATTTGTTACATGATCAAGTCATGTGACAAGTGAAATAGCAACTTAGGTAATATATGATATGAATATAGAGATATATTTTTTACTACACTCAAGTTTTTTCTCAAAAGTCGATGCTAATTAACCAAGACTGATTTTTTTGGGTGTATTTTTGTTCATCACCCTCAAATGATAGTAATGCTCACCAACCTACTTATTATCATTGAATGAATTTAAATTTTGAGATTTATGTCTGTCCACTACACAGATCTTAATATTTAAACTATCAAACGGTTATAAACAGAGTATTAAGTATTACCAACACTTGAAGGTGGTGAGCAAAAATATTTCCGATTTTTGGATCTCACAATCTGCCCATTCATGCATTTTCCTAAAATATTAAGTGAAACTTTACCCTAAGTACTTAAAGGTACTTTAATTATATGAATTATTTGCTGAGCAATGACATTAAACAATTCAATTAACAAAAGGAGTTTTCCAAATGCTTCCACTTTCATCGAAAGGATTTGGATAATGTGTAACCAGACGGGTGTCAAGAACATGCATGCTTTACAAACACTGGTTGGAAGAATTAAAAGGTCAAATACTGTGAGTTTGGTACCAAACGGATTTCAGTTGTCTTCAAGTTCAGATGGTCTTGGTTTTTTGTCCAACCACTACAAAATATCCTTCAAACAACTTTTCATCTTTGTCTCTCAAATGCATTCCACGTGCCCTCAAACCCTTGTTTTCTTTATCCAACATGCATCAACTTCAAATATTTTTTACCAAAAAATTAAAAACATGAACTCCAATTTGTTCGATCACCTTCCTCTCAAGTGTACAAGGATAAATAATCTATTTTTTGCACAACAAAAAGGGCGGCTTTGCCTTTTCTTTTCTTGCCTTTCGGCTTTGAGTCTTGACACAAAATGCAATATTGTAAAGGATCTTAGGTGACTAGTAAAAAAGCAGTCCTTGCACATAAAATAATCTAGTTAAATTATTTTTGACGTGTGACTATAATACTTTGTGATTTTCATTGATTTGAATTCAATTAGAGTTTCTCTGAACTAAAACTTCACAAGTATTGATCATTGAGCTTGTAATAATGTGAAACAATTGTCATTTGGCTTACTCCGTTATAATTTCCTTCCATTTTTGCCCATTTAAACCCTTTATTTTGGATGGAAGTTCTAACAGAGTTAACGAAAATGACCATTGCTCTACATTATAACAAGTTCAGGGACCAATACTCACATATTTTAGTTTAGGGACCAAAGCTCAAGTTGTGCCAAAATTCAAGACCATTACTCCGATTCTCTAAACCAAATA